CCACTCCTCGGAAGGGAGATGGGGCAATCTACTTCCATAATGATACTGCCTCAGAAACCCAAGGAGGGGTAGCTATGAGTCAGGTCCGACTTGACGGCACATAACAACAACTATTATTTCCACCAGCCAATCCTCGGAAGGAAGATTGGGCAATCTACTTCCCTAGCGATACCGCCTGGGAAACCCAAGGAGGGGTAGCTATGAGTCGGATCTGACTCAACAGCAGTGAGTTTGGTTTTGGTTTTTTTCTTTTTTTTATTACTTCCTGAAAAAAAGTATCCCACACATTACCCTATGGAATATAGAGAATATTATATTCATTGATTACACAGTATTGGTGCTTTTTTCTTTTTCTAAGGGAAAAAATATCTAACTTGTCTAGTTATACATTACAAATGTGATTATTTCAGGTATAACAATATGTTGGATATTTTCACAGAAAATTGTAGCTTTAATTACTGTTTTAGAAAGAAATATATACTGTTTACACTCGGGGGAAAAAATGTAATATCTCCCTAAATAAAGATATTACTATTTAAAATTTGATCACTGGTAGCATAGTGCCTAAGGCATTTGGCTGCTAACCAGAAAGTTGGCGATTCAAACCCACCAGCCACTCCTCAGAAAGAAGGTTGGGCAATCTACTTCCATAGTGATACTGCCTCAGAAACCCAAGGAGGGGTCGCTATGAGTCGGGTTTGACTCGACTGCAGTGAGTTTGGTTTTTTGGTAGTCTTTTATTATAAATATTATATTGCTTTAATTGGCATGGGACAAGGGGGAAAATTCAAGTTAGTTTTTTTCTGTAATTCTTGTCATTTGAGATGATAGGATTTATTTCTGACAAAATTTGACAGAAGGAAGGAAAGATAGAACATGAGGGAGGAAGAGAGAGAAAAATGAAAGAAATTGGGTAGATTCCCTTTCCCTTTTCCTCTTGGAAAATTGTTTTGGTCTGTGTTCTGGTTACCTAGCACCTCTCTGACAAGAATATACCACTAATGGGATGGCTTGAACAAACAGGAGTTTATTCTCTTACAGTTTGGGAGGCTAGAAGTCTGAGTTGAAAGTGCCAGGCTCTAGGGGCTTTGTGAAAGCCCCTCAACCTTAGGTTTCAGCTCTGCCTCTTGCTTCCAGCCCACAGAAGCTAGAGGCATGTCTTCACTCAGGCAGCTACTGGCTGCTGAGGCTAACAAGCCCAAGGTCGACAAATAAAATGGCAGAGTCCCGATGTTACCAAACCACACAGCAGGCCATTGATTCAAGTCCATTGTAAGTCCCAGGACTGGCAGAGCATGGCAGGCTGCTGAACAATGACATGGCTACATACAGGGTTCAAGTGTAAAATTAGCTAGAGACCATTCCCAAAGCTACTGCTTATATATGAGAAGTGGACCCCATCCCTAAAGCAGCTACTCAGCTGCTTGTGGTAGATCCCACCATGGAGTTGATTTCCAGTCTCATCATGGGGAATAACTACCACCAGCTAGCTGCACAGCCAATCAACCAGGCCCAACCAAGTTGACAAACAACTTTAACTACCACAGTTGGTTTTGTCATTTGTTGAAAAAGTAATTCTTCTTACCTCTGAATTTCTGAAAGTTGATATCATGCTAATAAGAATAAGATTTAAATTTTTTTTATTTAAAAAAAAACTACAGATTTATAGGAAATTGCAAGAAAAAAAAGATACAGGGAGATCTCTTGTATGAGTAATTTTTTTTTTTTTTTTTTGTAGTGGAATCAGTAAATCTTATTTACTTAGAAAGGTCAGCTCTTCCTAACAGTTGCATATGGTTGCTATTTGTGTTCACAAAATTAGGTTTATTAAATAATGGTCCATTCTTTAGTAGAGATCTAATGTTGCTTTTTTTACCTTGTTCATTTCTTTTTTTATTTGTTAAGGTTTGGAATGGCATTGAAAGTGCTGACTCAGCTTGTTGCTGGGCTGTAGAATGTTAACTGTGGTCAGAGGAGGCCCTGCTAGTGTGATTCAAGGACATCGTAACATAGTGAGAAGAATGATAGACTTGACCTTAGAAAGCCTGGATTCCAGACTGCACTCTACCACATTATAACCGTGTGACCATTGAAATCCAGTTTTCCCTGCCTCTTGATTTGTTTGGAATATAATTAGTAAAATAATTTACAGACTAAAGCCCTGAGCTATCATCATTATTATAAGGCCTTTTTTGCAACAACAGCAACAAAACTCCCTTGCTAGTAATAATTCCTATAATAAGAGTTAGTCCTTTGAGTTAGAGAAAAAAGGCAGAAGAAATTTGTCAAAATCTCCTCCTTATACTGTGCATGCCAGCTGGGCAATGTCGGTAGAGAGCCTTTATTTTACAGATTAGAAAGTGGAGATCCTGAGAGGTTAGGACTTACGGTTATCCTCCTTTTCATTCTTAGTCTAGGTCTTTTTCTGCATTATATTCTCATTATGTTTTGTTTATTCTGTGCATTTTATCAAGTATTTCTGGCTTTTGTGTGTCGGAGGGCAGAGAGAAGAACTGGAGGAATGGAATGCCCACACTACCTCACATAGTAGTAACACCCGTTCCTCAAATTAACCTGTTGTTATCTTGCCCAGCTGTGTCCTGTGACTGTTCTCATTGTTTTAATGGAGAAGACTCTTTTGTATATGAAAAACTAACTCATTGCCGTTGAGTCAGTTCCACTCATAGCGACAACTCCTTGGGTTTCCGAGGTGGTATCTCCACAGAAATAGATTGCCCAACCTCCCTTCCGAGGAGTGGCTGGTGGGTTTGAACCTCCAGCCTTCTGGTTAGCAGTCAAATGCCGTAGGCTTTTGTCTATGAGGAGCCCTATTTTCAGTGTATATTTAACATAAAATTCTTGCTTCTACCACAAATAGAATTTCATAAAATTCCTGAACTGTAGATTCACACAGCTGAAGTACAAAAAAGATAACAATGATGAGATCATCACCATATATATATTGAACAGTTTAGTAAAGTATTAAGCACTCTGCTGGGGTAGTGGTGGTTCACTGGTTGAATTCTCATGCATAGCCACCACTTGCCTATCAGTAGAGGCTTTGCATATTGCTATAATGCTGCATAGGTTTCAGTGGGGCTTCCAGACTAAGATATACTGGGAAGAAAGGCCTGGAGATCTACTTCTGAAAATCAGCTAATGATTCAGTCCACAACTGATTATGGGGATGGTATAGGGCCAGATAGCAATTCATTCCATTGTGCATGGAGTTCATGAGTCAGAGCGACTTGATGGCAGGTTACAGTAACAACAAATACTATGCTAAGTGCTTTATACTCATTGAATCTCATTTAGTGTGAAACAGCACTATGAGGTAAGTGATACCCCCATTTTATAGATGAGGAAACTGAAGCTTCAAATGGTTAAGTAAACTGTCCAGAGTCACATAACTACTAAATGGTTGAGTCACTTCTCAATTGAAGTCTGTCTAGTCCCAAAGCCCATATCTTTACACTGTGGTACAAAAACCAAATCCACTGTCATCAAGTCAATTCCAACTCATAGTGACCTCCACTGGGTTTCTGAGATGGTAAATATTTCTAGAAGTATATTGCCCCATCTTCCTTCTGTGGGGTGGCTGCTGGGTTTGAACCACCAAACCTTCCTGCAAACCAACCTTCTGGTTTGCAGTCAAATGCCTTAGGCACTGTGCCACCAGAACTACTTTTAGAAAGCCTTTATTTTGTAGATTAGAAAGCGGAGGTCCTGAGAGGTTAGGACTTATGGTTATTCTCCTTTTCATTCTTAGTCTAGGTTTTTTTCTGCATTATATTCTCATTATATTTTGTTTATTCTGTGCATTTTATCAAGTATTTCTGGCCTTTGTGTGTGTGGCTGATATGTCAAATTGATACAAAAGTAACTGGGTTTTTAAGCATTTTGGTTAGATTTTTTAATGGAATTATCAATCACTGGATTTGATTTTTTTAATGAAGCATTTTCTGCAAGACTCCTATAAAGGAGACACTGTCTCCCATGTGCTATTAAAAGTTGGACCTTGTGACTACTAACTATATTTTTCTTTCAGAGCAGCCAGAGGGGGCAGTCTGTGACATCATGTAAAAAATAGCCACCAAGGAGCTATCCAGCATCATTTTTAGTTCATTAATTTGGGTAAGCTAAGTTTTCCAAACAGATTAAATTTGTCTGATTTATTTCAGAAGTGTATTACAAAGCATTTGAAGACAAGAGAGAATTCAAATGCACAGGCAGACTAGAGCTCCAGAACTTTTCTGAGAGGCTCTTCAGAAGGTAAGCATTTCTGCTAGAAGCTTTGGTACTGTATTTTCAGAAGTATATTTCCATTCTTTTCCCTATTATTAAGAGTATCTAATTGGTATAAATGTTATTTTTGATATTCAATTGATATATCATCTCTAAAATTGCTTTTTTTTTTTTTTTTCTTATTATTTTAACATTTTCAAAAGACAGAGAAGATACATCCTGAAATCCTAGGAGAATTCTACCATTTTCTTTCCTAGCCTGAAGAGATTTGGAAATTAATGGGTAATATTTTGCATGAAAATTACTGAACGCTTTTTTCGTCTTATCTCTGAGTCCTTCTGTGAAGAATTAATAGGAGGTTGAATGTGCGCATGGATAACATGGATCATCTTAAAGGATTGAAGTGCCAAAAATATATCAGCAGGACTGGACAGGTTTGACATAATGAGATTTCTGTTTTAGCCTGACTTCTGGAACTTTGAATAAACTAAACTGAGCTATACAAGATCCTGTGAAGGAAATTTCTCTTCCAAAAGATTCCACCTGTGTATAATATTTTTCTTATTCAGATCTTTTGGGGAAAAGTGTATTTAGTCATCAATTTCCTAAAGAATAAAACTATTAGACACTTCATGGCTTTTCACTTATGAAGTGGAATAGAAGCAGCAACTTGAATCCTGTTGGAAAACAAATTTAATTAAAGAACCAGATAACAGGAAATAAGAGAAGAAATCTCTACATAAGCACTGCTTGAGATGGCAGAAGCTCCTGTGGATGCCTCAACATCGGCTGTAACAACAAAGAAAAAGAAAAGTCTATCGATTGAGGAAAAGATTGACATTATAAATGCTGTAGAAAGTGGCAAGAAAAAAGCAGAGATTGCAGCTGAATATGGAATAAAGAAAAATTCATTGTCTTCTATTATGAAGAATAAAGACAAAGTTCTAGAAGCTTTTGAATCTCTGAGATTTGATCCAAAGAGAAAAAGACTGAGAACTGCTTTTTACACAGATCTGGAAGAAGCATTGATGAGATGGTACCGAATTGCTCAATGTCTGAATGTACCAGTTAATGGTCCAATGTTGCGTCTGAAAGCTAATGATTTTGCCCAGAAGCTGGGACACAGTGATTTTAAGTGCAGCAATGGTTGGCTGGATCGCTTTAAAGCCAGGTATGGTTTAGTATTCAGAGCCCAAGCTGCAGAAAGTACAGCTACATCTGTAGACCCTGCAACAGTCTGGTGTCAGAATATACTTCCTTATTATTTAAATGATTATCATCCTAAAAATATTTTTAATATAAAAGAGACTGGGTTGCTTTATCGAATGTTACCTACAAATACATTTGCATTTAAAGGAGAAACATGCTCAGTTGGAAAATTATGCAAAGACAGAATAACTCTGGTGGTTGGGACAAACATGGATGGCTCAGAGAAACTTCCTTTGCTTATCATTGGGAAAAACAGAAATCCACATTGTTTCAAAGGTATAAAATCATTGCCTGTGTATTATGAAGCTAACAGAATGGCATGGATGACTGCAGAAGTATTTGAACAATGGATGCGGAAGCTTGATGAGAAATTTCAAGCCCAACAACGAAGAGTGGTGATTTTTGTCGATTCTTTTCCTGCACATCCAGAGGTAAAGAACCTAAAATCCATTGAGTTAGCATTCTTTCCATCATGTTTATCTTCCAAATTTACAGCTATGAAACAAGGTGTTATTAAAAGTCTTAAGATCAAATATCGGCATTGTCTTATCAAGAAATTTTTAAGCTCTGTTGAAAGCAGCAAAGAATTTATGTTTTCCCTATTAGATGCAATTGATACATTGCATCTCTGTTGGAGAACTGTAACCCCAGAGACTATTATTAAGAGTTATGAAGAGGCAGGATTCAAATCGCAAAAAGGAGAAGATGACACAGCAACTGTGGAGGCAGACGCCAGTCTTGATTTGGTTGCACACGCTCTGGCGGCAGGAGTGGAGTTTCCTGAAGGTTTGTCTATAGAAGAGTATGCTGCCGTGGATGATGATCTGGAGACTTGTGAAGCAGCATCAGATGATGATGTAGTAGGGACCAAAGAAAGTAAATCAGATGAGACCGGATTTTATACTTCTGATGAAGAGGATGACAGTGGAGCTCCAGAAACTGAACTCCCATTGCCATCAAAAAATGAGGCAGTTACTGCTTTAGATACCCTTAAAAAATTTCTTAGAAGTCAAGATATGAATGATATGCTTCATAATTCTTTAGCAGACATTGAAAATTTTATTAATTCTCTATCATCTAAATAATTATGTAGTGTAATACATCTGAAGAATATTAGATCTTCCTGATGTGTTTTATTCTATAAGGTATGTAAAGGGAAAAATATCACATAAAAAAATGAAAACCTTGTAATATTTGGTTTCATTGCAAAAACTCTTTTGTCTGAATCTATCTCCCTAGGGAGATTAAATTAAATAATGATTAAGTAAATGAAAAATATTAATTTTAGTTTGTTGTTATGTGCCATCGAGGTTTCCAAGGCAGTATCACTACGGAAGTAGGATTGCCCAACCTTCCTTCCAAGGAGTGGCTGGTGGGTTTGAACTGCCAGCCTCCTGGTTAGCAGTCAAGTGCTTTAGCCACTATGCTACCAGAGCTCCTAATTTTAGTTCAGCTTTTGGAAAATAAAAAATATATTTCAGAGGCCTTGTACTTGAAACATAGAGTATATGTAAAAAATAAAAAGAACTCCCCAGATATCTGATTCATACAGATTGAATAAGTAATAGCTATTTTCTTAAATTCAGATCACGTTCTAGAATATTTTTATTCATCTACCTAGACTAAGAAACAAAATATCTGTAACTTAGATATTTATAAAGACATATATATGCCATGTGATATTCTAACTAGATCAAATAATCTTAAGTATTAATTTTTAAATTACTTGTTTTCATAGCTAGCTAATCTTCCTAAGAAATTATAAAAACCTACTGAAAATAAAGTCTGACCTAACTATATAACAAAATGATTAAAAATATATGCCTTACCATTTTATTTAAAAAAAGTTGTTTCTATATAAGGTTAAATGGAAGACTATGATCCTATCTTTTTTTTTCTATCATAAGAAGATATGGATTCTTCCTAAATATTTTTTTGTGTATATGTGTGTTTAATAGAAAAATACTTTACTAAAACAGTAACTCTTATGGTATTTATATTTTAATAAAATTATTCTTTAAAAGCAAATATAAAATATAGATATGCAGTTATTAAAAATAAAAATAAAATATTTTATCGGGTTCTTAGACATTTTCAAATTTTACCAGCTTAAACTTTTAACCTAAAAATTTATTTTCTTGACTTTACTTAATTTTTTTTTTCAGGAAAAACTGAATGTCTTTTTAGCATGTTTTGATGTACTTAATCCTTTTAAAAAAAAAAAAACTAACATTTTTTTATTACATTTCAGTTTGAGGAAGTTTTATCTATAGAATGCTTTAAAATATTGTATTGAATTATGTATCTCTATAAAATACAGTTTTTAAGCTGTAGAAAAATGTAACAATGAGACTTTGTCATTGTTAAATTTTAACTAGTATATTTGTTTGACTTCTTATTACAGCTAATTTAGAGTCCCTTTGAGAAGTATTTTGAAAAGACGGAAAACTTTATACAGATTATTTATACTGTGAAGTATTATTAGACTGCCAACAGAAGACACGTTTGGAAGGAAATGTTAATAGGAAACATTTTTATTTTTCACTACTGACGAAGTCTGCTTTTGAGACTTAATAAAAGTATGCCTTAAAAATTTACTAAAATTAAGAAAGTTTCATTTAGAGTGAAATATGGATTGATTAGATTTAATTTAAAGTATTTTATTAATGTTGTTGTTGTTGTTGTTATGTGCCGTCGAGTCGACCCCCGACTCATAGCGACCCCTCCTTGGGTTTCCAAGGCAGTATCACTACGGAAGTAGGATTGCCCAACCTTCCTTCCGAGGAGTGGCTGGTGGGTTTG